AAAATTGGGTAAGAATCTCAGCAAATACCAAATTTTGTAGGACTCTGATCGGGATCTTGCCATAAAAGAATAAAAAAAGAAAAGATGAATGTTGCCAGTATTTTAAGCACCCTATTGCCTCTGAAGGTTTTTTTTTTTTTTTTTTTTTTGGGGCAGTCCCTGCAGTGTGTACCTACCTTTTTGCATGCTAAACCACTGGTGTCTGAGATGCCCTTGTGGGAGCGGGCCATCATCACACCCCTATGTGACGTGCAGGCTTTCACAGCGTGCTTTGTGTAAGGTGAGAAAACTGGGAAGTGCTATGATGTACTCTATCAAGAGTGAGTTCCGAGGACTGCTTTGAGCCATGAGATGAGAAAGATGACTGTACAGATGAAAGTTTTTCACTGTATTAAATTAAAATAAAACTTTTGAATAAAAGATGGTGAAAGGGTTTTTAATTTACAATAGGGTATCTGGGTGGTTTGCACAGCCAGTTTTTCATCCTGTCTATTTGAGAACCAGTGGAGACAAAAATAAATAAATAAATGAAAGTAAAGATGAGACCTTACAAAGCGGCATAAATTCTTTAGTACACCATGCACTTGAGGCTAAATCGTAGTTAACATAAGTTGGCAGTGGACCTTTTAAGAGGTCCCGGTATTTAGCTGTGAGGAGTAAAGCAGGGGGTGCGACGGGGTCTTATTTAGCTCTTCAGTAGCCCCACTGTGTTTTTGTCCGTCCTCTAGCAGGCAGATCATTATTTCATTGAAGAGCATAAAAGGAATCGAAGGAATTTTAATGAGTGCAGCAGTCCCGTTTAAGATGTGACAGACTTGGTGTCAGTGACAAAAAGTGTGATTACTTCAATAAATAGCGCCCACTAAATCCCAAGGAATGGAGTTAAATAATTGCACCAATAACTTAGGCTGAAGTTTCCCCACTCAGCCTATACCATTTATATGCTAACCATGTCCTGTAGGGTCCCTCCCTTTCTGTTTAATTTCAGCTATCCCTTTTTAATCAGTTTTCTTTTATCTCACAGCAGGTAGAATACAGATACAGTGTATTTATTTCTTTTAATCAAGGGTACATGTGTGTGAAGCATTAATTATTGGATGAAAAAGGGCCCACAGAACATGTTCATATTGATTTAAGTCTCTCACCCTGAGAGGATTGTTTTCTTAGGGTAGCTGAATGTGATGCGGTTCATTGACTCGTAAGATCAAAGTCAAAAGAAAAAGTCTTCCCTGACAGAAAAAAAAGAGAGAAGGACAGGGCCGGGCATGCTGGAGGGAAGGGAAAATGGAAATATAAACAGCAAGAAATCAGCCGGAGAGGCCGAGCTCGGGATAAAATCAGCTAGTTTGTAGTCACAGAGCAACATCTAACCTTGTTGTTTTGAGGACGGCTTTATTGTGAGGATGGAGCAGGTTGGTAAACCGACTCACTGTAAACTGAGAAGAGCTATAAAAAAAATCCATAAAGGTGTACATAGTGGCATATTATAGCCAGGAATGTAGTGTGCTGTATCTGGTGGAAATCTGAAGTATCTAATGTACCCACCTAAGTATCTTTATGGCTGTACAGTGCCAAGAAAAATCCCCATGGCCCTTTTAGGTAAAGTATTTATACTTCTCATGACTGGGACGGAGGCACTGGCTTACATAAATAACACTCTCAGGTTGCCCCACTGTGGGTTTGGGGGCAAACCACCCACACTCGATTCAGTTCCTTCCAGTAATCAGCGCCGTCTCGTTTGACCCATTTAGTGTAACATTGTGCTTACCCAGCTGGAATGATTTCAGCCTCCTTTGGCCTCCCCTGCTATTTCCTCCCAAGCAAACTACCCAAATGAGAAATCCAAGGTACTGATGAACAGGCAGGCTGTTGGTAAACATTTTATATTAAGCTTTTTGAACATAACTTGAACTCTACATTGCTGCTATTGTCATAATGGAGGTGCCGGTGCCTTGGTTTGTGATGCTGCAGCAGTAGGCTGCCTCTGATCTTTGTGACCCCCAGAGAAGGGTCCAGAGGCCTGGCTGCCTATGGAGAATTTAGATCAGCCTCCTACATGCGCTGAACCCTGTCCTCTCCGCTCATTACCTCTCACTTTCACTTACCAGGGGGTGGTGGTGATGCTGAATAAACCTCCCGTTCGACATTTGATGACTCCTAAGGAGAATGTGGAAGGTTGCTGATGCACACTGAAGAAAATGCAGCAGGTAATTCTGCAACAGTCTGGCTTTGTGTATTTTTAGTGTTATCAATCCATTTTGTTGTTGAGGATGGAGGACTTCTCTGTTGTAGCCTTTCAGTGTTAGTTGATGAACAGCTCTCTAGCGTGTCAGCTGCTGTAATTGCCTATATAAGTACTATTTCCATAGTCAGTCAAACTGATGGTTTATTTTTATCATTTAGGAGATGCAGTGCATCAACTAGATAAGAATTCTCTCGCCCCCTACTAAAATACGACACCTTTGCAAAGTTAACTGTTAATGAATACCAGTACATAACATTGGGAGCAGTTTATTTGCCCTTGGGGCCAGTGTTCAGTGCTTTAGTAGTCTGGCTTTGTCTCTGGGCTGTGAAGTGTTTTTCACAGATACATAGTAATCAGTTACACCATTAAAAACAGATGGAACGAAGTCATTGCTTTGGGAGTCTAAAGTCTTTGCACTGAACTCGACTGAAGTCCTACAGTCCTAAACAAATCCTTACTGTACACTGATCAGCTGCAACATTAAAAACCACTGGCAGGAAGTGAAAAACTGTGATTATTATTATTATTTTTTTTACAGTGGCATGTTTGCAGATGATGTTAAGGCCACTTGAGTCGTAATTCTTTTTTTGATTTAGTTGAGTCACAATTCATTTGAGTCTCCCTTGATTTCAAGGCATTAAAACCGAACACAGACTGTGGCACCAGAAACATTCTACTTTAATGGTGTCCATCCATTTAGTAACAATATTCTTGCAAATGTGTTACAACTTTGCTTCACAGTATTGTCTCATTAAAAGTGAAGTGTTGTTTAGGGCATTCTCCTGAATGCACCAGGCTGAAATACGACAGAGCAGTCCACATTTATAACAAAAAGTGCAAAAGTGCAGCAGTATTACACACCTGCAGAGGTGGATTTACTCTGTATTCAGGTTGTCCAGCTGCGCAAGCTCAAACAAAGCCCACTTCATCATAATAGTGCTCTGTCACAGTGGATTGAAAGCCCTTGTAATGAATAATTATAGCGGGGGGAGTGAACATGGTGGAGAGGCGGGGTGGTGGGCTTCTGTCGTAAAAACAGGTACGTGTCATGAATTATACATTTGGAGAAATGCCACCCTACATCAGATTTATGCATTTCAGTTTGTAGTCACAAACTGCCTCTTGTTAGGCAGATGAATCTAAGACCCGAATAAAGGTAAATGAGGTAAAACTATATAATGTACTTTAGTGGTCGTTTTCGAGGAACATGGTGTGTTTTTAGATATAAATTGGTGGAGGAATCCACCTTTGGAGTATTTTGTTAATTATGCTACCTAGAGATTAATTAGAGAGGACACATGCGCTGTATGCACACGCTGCCTTGCCTGTGCAAAGGTGGTGTTAATTATACACAAACCACCAGCACACATGCACAGGCTCTCTCTGCTGTCCTTGCTTGAAGCTATGCTCCCTGTACTGTGGGTCACAGAGGTGGAACCAACAAACCGTAAAGCTTGGACTTCCAGCTCAACAGCTCTGCCAGTCCCCAACATCCCCCTGGCCTTGACAATATACTCCAGGACCAAAGGGCACCTGGGTCAACTTATAAAGAGTGATGACCTAACAAAGCTTTCTGTCCTACAAGTCTGGCTACAAAAAAACAAATAAAATTCCTGAAATGAATGGATCCTGTCAAGTGATGCCAGGATATAGCCCTTTGGCTACATGGCACCACTTGTCACTTTCAATGGCACTTCCACTTTTTAATGTCCGCTGTGGTACAGACAGATGGTTTGCAGGCAGATTAGACGCATTATTACAAAAAATAATCCAATATCATGATATAATTATCATACTTACAAAACAGCTCCCCTCCTACAGCAGAAGATCTGGAGAGGATGAGATTTTGAAACTGCATAAACATACATATTTCAGAAAATGCAATTGATAAAGTTGGTGTTTTATTTTCTTGGTATCAGGGCACATAGTTAGGTGGTCTCATTCTGAGCTTACATTATCCTAAATTTGAACATTTCCAAAGAAACAAAGGTTATTTTATACAGTATATTACATTTATACATACTTTATGTACTGTATAAAAGTATTAGGCCACTGTTAGTTTGGCTGTTTTAGTAAGGTTATAATGATCATTTATCTTTATTTCTCAATCTCTTTATTAAGATATAACCAGAAAATACAGGAAACATGTATGCAATATTAAGAAACACAAAATGGCTTCTAGTATCCAATGTCAGTGTTTAGTGTGACCTCCCTTTGCACTTAGCACAGCTTGAATTCTTTCAGGGAGGTTTTCTTAAAGTCTTGAAACCATGACAGATCCTCCACCATGTTTTACTGAAAGCACTCATTCTTCCACCTCTATCTAACTCCTCTTGTCACATACTGTCTGATAGGACCTGAAAATTTCAAACCGATTAATCGCTCCATCATCCTCTTTTCCACAGTTCTTCACTCCAGTCTTTATGAGCTATCCATTTAGATGGATACCTTAGTTCAGTCAAATCTTGCATAACCATGAATGATAGAACAAGGAGTTCTGTCATTAGCAGAGCTGATGGCCACACTGAGCCTGATGATGATCTGCAGCAAAAACAGCAACCTACGTTAGCTTTCTTGCTAAAGTTCGCTCCCAACTTACAAACATGAATTCGCATCTTGTTTTCGCTTGTTGAACAAGCCACCAAATTAGGCGTTCAGCTGATAGCTGCTGCTGTGGTCCTCATTCTTCAACACCACCAAAACCACAAGTTCATTTTCTTTCTCTTGTTCCCTGTGGTGAACAAGAGCCTGCCAGCTGTTGTCAATCAAACAGAGGCACTGACACACCCCTCCAGCTGGCTAAGGGGAAAAAGGATAATTAGCCTTTTTTTCTTTGCTTTTCTTTAATCATAGTACAATACAAAATAAATAATAAAAAACTTACATTAGTTTAGACTAGAAAAGGATGACTAAATGTGATTTCAGCTGAACTTTTAAACCTGTCATCAAAATAAAAAATTGAGTAGTGCTGTATATTACGTTTATGGTTAACTGCTCATTTGAGGAAGATAGCAATGCAAAGTGACATCAGTGAAATGTGACAAGCACATGCGTCCACGTTAAGATAAACCCAGAAGGCAGCTGTGTGGTGGAGTGCAGTGACTCATACTGTAGGTCTTATTTCTGCTCCTAGGGATAGGCTACCTGCACAGAATAACGTACAGTGTAATGCTGACAGTGTCAGTAATTGGTTGCCTTTCAGTCCTTTTTATGCTGTGATTTGAATGTGATCATCCATTCACAATCAGTGAAATCCCTCTTGTGTAATGACATGGGGTTTACAGGATGGAGGTCTTTAATCTCTCTTATTGTTGGCTTGTGCAGAAACCTTTAAAATTGTATGTGTGTATTTATGCACACATGCACCCACAAAAACATTATACTGTCTAGGGCTCTCTCTGCCTTACCTCTACCATCCTCTGCTTGTCCTTGACAGATCACATGGATATTGGCTGCCTGCTTAAGAAATAACACCTCCCATCAAGTTGATAGAGGAGCTCTGAGGAGGAGGCTTCTCGTCCTCTCTCTCTGGGATGTTTACATCAAATCCTCTAGGTCACCATCTCAGCAGTGATCATGTATTCAGTGGGGATTTGGAGGGGGAGAGGTGGGATATAAGTGCTCCTTTGGGAAATAAGGGTCACCTCTTTAATCTCCGATGCCAGCCTTGGATGCGAGTGTGTTTTTATTCAACACAGAACCAGCATGGTGTATACATTACTCGTGTGCTGTCGCTATCAGTAGTCTTACTGTTGGTATTGGTTCTTTTGTTGATGGAATAATTAGGGAGGTCACAGGCTGCTGGTGTGTAATGCAGGCCTAGTTGATTATACTGTGGATTATTGGACACATTATAGGAAATCTAAATAAGAAAACTCAATGCTGACATCTGATTGTCCTGAATTTATTTGTTCAAATAACTGAGACATTTGCTTGAATGAGATCTAAGAGGAAAATCATGCTTTGCATGTCCACATATACTCTAAGGTTGACTGACGTAATTCTCATCATCTTCCCAGATCTACATGAACAGGAATGCATGCATGCCTCTTGTTTGTGTCCATGTGCACAGAAGGGTATGCGTAAAGCATGAATTCCCCTTAAGTAAAACCAGATGCAATACGAGCTAAATAATGAACACTCTTATTTCACTTGGTGCTGTGTTGAAACTGTCCTCATGAAATTAAAATAACATTTATTACTTAACACGGCATGATATGACCTATGTTTACGTTGAGTAGAAAACAGGAAGGAGTGTGACATTCTGATACAGTATCTGTGCAAAAAGTCTGAAGGCTGAATGTGATGGTTGATGTGTGGCCTGAGCACCAGAGAAAACCAGATTGTTGTTGTCTTCCCCTAAGCTTGAATGTATGCTGTAGGTTCTGTCTGTCTTAACACAGTGCTCTCATGTCATACTGTGTATACAGTGTATGTTAACTGAGTTACTGCTCGCTGTAATTACTCCTTTACCTTCCAGTGAAGTGGTACCTTCACAGTGCAGTTGGGCTGTAAGAGAAAGCAGACAGATTTGAAGGTAATATGAGCCAGAATCTGACAAATTGAATGAGAACCTTTAAATGTTACTGTCTTTTCAGCAGAAAATGTTCTCTGTGATTTTTCTCCAGTTTTCTTTTGCTGAGCTGCAATTAATGGGCACATCTGGGTAGTGGCATCGCTGGGCCATGGCACCAGCCATAAATGCACATGTAACTGCCAGAATAAATAAAACGGCTTGAATTGGCCAACTGAAATGGTTGAAACCTCAGCACTTTAGAGCACATTTGTGCACAGAATGACTGCAGTATATGGTCACCATCTTATGAATTAGGCTAATAGTGGCTGATTCTTAAACTCTGTGACTCAAAGGCCACCTCCAGGTCTTTGGAGCTTTATAACGGGTTTTCAGATCATTGTTTAGCAATATGATCCACAACTTTACCGTTGTTTCAGTTGCACCAC